ATTTATTTCTATTAAATAAGAAATAATTGAGTATTGATTGTTGTATAAGTTCAGAAACATTTCTTTATTTTAATTTTATCTCTTTTAATTCTCTTTTCATTTACATCAAATATTGATACACAAAGTTAACAGAATTGTCAGAAAATATTGAAACAACATAACATATGATTCAATAAGTTCTAATAGTTAATATTTGTATTCAATTTATATTTTATATTTTTATAACATTTTCATTTTTTGTGTTTTTGTTATTCTAAAAATAAATTATTCTATTTTTAGATAATCTGATTGAAATAAAATAAATGATGTTTATTTCTAAATATTATTTCTGTTTGTCATAACAGTGAAAATGAACTTATAATATTCATTTAATGAATGTACAAGAAGAAAAGTCATTTTCAATTGGAATTCATTTAGGACTTACACATTCTTCAGTTGCTTATTATGATATTGTTAAAAATGAACCTATCTTAATTAAAGATGAAATAGGAAAAGAACAAATACCATCATGTATTAGTCTTTCACAACTAGATAATATTGGATTTGCTATTGTAGGAAATCTAGCTAAATATGACATTAATACTAAGTGTCTTATTTATGATAATAAGAGAATAATAGGAAGAGATGAAAGTGATGTTAGTTATGAAGATCGTGAACACTTGCCATTCAAATTAAAATCAAGAGATAATGGAAGTGCTTATATTGAATGTTATAATCCATTGAATCAAGAAAGTGAAGAATTTGAACCAGAAGAAATTAGTGGAATAATATTAAAATATTTATATGAAATTGCACAAGCAAAACTTGGTAATCATCCAATATCAAATGTTGTTGTTACTGTTCCAGTTGATTTTAATGATAGACAAAGAAATGCAACATTATTAGCATGTAAATTAGCAGGAATTAAGAATGTTGAACTTGCTAATGAACCAACAGCTGCTGTTATTGAATACAAAAGAGAATATCCAAATTTATTAAAAAATGGAGATAAAGTTGTAGTAATTGATTTTGGAGGAACATTAGATGTATCATGTTGTAAAATAGTGAATGACAATGTTATTATAGAGTCATGTGGAGGAAATCAAAATTTAGGAGGAAACGAATTTGATAAAGTAATGATTGATATCATTAAAAAAAGAATAGAAGAAGATATTCCAGGATATTATAAACAGAAACGAGGAATGACTCAAAAAGAAAAGATAATATTCAACAAGAAAATAATTAGATTAAGGAAAGAATCAGAAAGAATTAAAATTGAATTAAGTGATAAAACTGATACTGAATTAAATTTAGAATTATTATTATCTGATGATTATGATGATGAATATAATACTGAACTAGATTTAGATTTATTATCTGATGGTTATGATGATAAATATTATATTGATCCTACTATTACAAGAAAAGAGTTTGAAGAAGAATGTTACAAAAGAGGAATATATGAAGAATTTATTAATAAAATAAAACAAGTTACTCAAAAAAAAGGATATAAAAGAGGAAATGTCCAATTAGTAATATTAAATGGTGGAACATGTAAAATGCCAAGAATTAGAGAAGAAGTTGCTAAGTTATTTGATATACAAACATTTTCTGATAAGAAGTTTAATCCACTTAATGCTGTTGCAAAAGGGGCAGCATGTTTAGCATATTTAGAACAAGATGAATGTGTTGGTCATGAAGTTATATATGATATTGTTCCAACACCAATTGGAATAGAATTAGAAGGGGGAAATTTTGAAATACTTATTAAAGAAGGAGAAACACTTCCTACAAATATAATTACAAAAAGGTATTACACAATCTACGATAATCAAACAACAATAGAATTTAATATTTATAAAGGATTTGGTAAATATGTTAATTCATATGAAATGGAATACATTACTACACTCCGTATTGATGGAATTCCTAATGGGAAAGCTGGAGAACAAACAATTGACTTTACAATTAAAGTTAATCGGAATGGAATGATGGAATTAAGTGCTTCTGTTGTTGGAAGTGATGTTAAAGGAGATTTAATTGTTAGTATTGATTTATCTAAAGAAAGTGATGAAATTACAAAATTAATAAAACATTTTCAAACATTTTATTAAATGAATGATTCTTAATTGATGTTTTATTTTGATGTAATTGGAATAATGTAATGAACGAATAAGAGATAATAATAGTTTATAAAAGAAATAAAAGAAAAGAAAAAAATAATCGAATAAAGAATATCAAATTGATTATCATTTGTTTATTATTTGTCCTTCTATTTTATTTCTTATTCTTTTAATTCATTTTATCATTGTTTATTATTTAAACAAGAAGAAGATGTATATTATTTAAATATTGTTAATAGATTGAAGTAGGTGATAAATAGAATAGGCAACGAAAAAAGGAAATAAGAGAAAAAAAAGAAGAGAAAGAATGATATGAAAGAAAAAAGTGAAATTAAGAAATAGAAGAAGATGAAAAGAATAAGAAAATTGAGAATATAAAAATAAAGAAGATAAAAAGGAGTAAATCAAAAAGTGATAATAAATGATGAAAAGAAGGATGGAAATAATGGTGTATTTTTATTATAGAAATTAGAAATATCTAATAAAAGTGTTTATTTTATTGATATAAAATAATTAAGAATATTTTATTGATATAATTTATTTTATTCTTTTTTATTTTTATAATTTTTATTTGTATGTTTATAATTTATTTTGGTTCTCTCCAATCTCTTTTCAACGAAATCAGAAAAAAAACTCTAAATTAAAATAATAAAATAAGACATTACAATGAAAAATAAATGAAATAAAATATAAATAACACAGAAATATGAAATAAAGATGAAATTACCATCATTCTTTGAGTTAATTATGAGAAGTTAAATAAATATGAGGTGGAGAAGAATGATGATGTGTTGAAGAAGAATATAAGAGATAAATAAAAACAAAATATTGAATATCAAAAAAGTTTGATTGAAAAGTATGAGATTGCAGAAAAAACAAAAGAAGAATTAGACAATACACAAATAGAAAATGAAAAACAAAATCAATTAATATCAAATCATCATCAATTTATTGTTTATTTTTTTTATCCCAGAAATTGAGAAGAAGAAAACAATGATATTAATGATAAATACACAACAAATATTAAGAATATCATGGACAATACAAATGAACAAAACTACAACTATGAAAAATAATATTATAAATAAAAGAACAAAACATTGAATATCAAAAAAAACAAGAAATGATAAACAAATAATAATAAAATAAAACACAATAAATCAAACAAATATAATTTAATTGATATGTTATATTGATTTGCAATTATTTATTAAATAAGAAATTAAATAAGAAATTAAGAAATGAACAAATAGAAAATATAATAAAAGTAATAAACATTAATGTAAATAATGATAAAGAATACATTAATACTATTAAATAATATTTTATTATTAATTTTATTATATATTATTGTTATTTAAAACAATAAAAAACAAATAACATTTAATTTAATGAATAAAATGAAATCATCAATAAAATAATAAAATAATAAATAAAAATGATATATTATAAATGTGTTTTAGTTATTTAATCATCTGATTTTAATCTTAAATACATTAAATTAAAATGGAAGAGTTAATAAACAAGAACACTCATTTCTTTAAAGAAGAAATAGAAACACTTCCAAATATTCAACAATCAATTGATGATACTACTAAACAGTATCAATATTATTTAGGAAGTATTAAAAATGAAATATTTGAAATAAAACCAGATGAAACATATTCAGAAGCAATTAAAAGAGGAGAAGGAATATTTGATAGAAATGATGAAACAAAAGGAAGAAGAAAACTAATAATAACAAAAAGTCAAGAAACAATTAAAACAATAGAAATAATAAAGAATCAAATGAAGAAAATAATAGAAGAATGTAATAATGATTCAGAAATACTAAGTGAAACACGGAATGAAATAATCAATACAATCATTTCAATTGAAGAAATGATAATAAAAAATAAACCATTCAGAACACCAAAAGAAAAATATAAAATCACACAAGAATTTAACAAAAAGAAAGAAGAATGGAAACCATATTATAGTGATTATTTAGAGAGGAAGAAGATAAAAGAAGAAGATGAAAAAAAAGAAACAAGAGGAAGAAGAGAGAAAAAGAAACAAAGAAGAAAGAAAATAAAAGAAGAGATAATAAAAATTATAAGAAAAAAGAAACAAGAAGAAATGAAACAACTAGAAGAATGGACAAATAGAAAAGTATCTAATATAATATTTGATTCAGATATTGATAATTGGAATAGGGATATATCAGTATTTGATAAAAGAATAATAAATAAAGAACATATAATAATTATCATTGAAGATAAAGATGGAAATAAATTTGGAGGATATGTTAATGTGAAAATTGATAAAATTAGAGATTTTATAAATGATCCAAATTCATTTTTATTTTCATTAAAATCAAAAAGAAGAATTCAAGGAATGATGAAATTTGATATTAATCAACCACAACATCGATTTATTTTATATAACCAATCACATAATAGTTTGTTTTTATTTGTATATAAAAGTAATATTTGTGTTAGTAAAGAAAATTATAAAACAGAATCATTTTGTAATCAATATTCATTTTCATATAATGGAATAACAAATACACTTTGTGGAAAACAATATCCAGAATATTTCACACCACAACGAATCGTTGTAATTGAAATGAAATGATTTTTATTCATTATTATTTATTTGAAATATAAAACTAAAAAAGAATATAAAATAAAATCAATAAATGAATATGAACAGCCATTTCTTTCATCTGCCAATGAATGAAATGGTGAATATAAAAATGGACATATTTCTTTCTTGTTTTATTTTATTTGAAATAATCATATTCAATGTGTTAATTTAATAAATAATAAAAAGAAATAAGAATAAAAGATAAATAAAAATATAATAAAACATTTAATTATCTCCTTTTTATTAACTTAGAAAAGAAAGTAAAACTGGTAGAAGAAAAAGAAATCAGTTTAAACAAAATGAAGATTAAATACGTTTTATAAAATTACTATGAATTATTGGAGTTGGTTATTAGACATGAAGTAGACCAACAAAATATAAGATAAAGAAAAAGTAGATGAAACCATAGTAATATAGTGTAAATTTTCTTTTATATAAACAGTATAAGTTATTTTGTTATTATCTTCTTCAATATTTTTGTTTTAATAAGATTTCAGTATACATCAAAGGATTTAAAACAATATTCTTGATAAATAAATTATGTTGATCATAATAATTATTATTCATGAATCAATAAGTTGTTTGATTTCACATAGTTTATTTTATTAATTAATAGAATCTTTATGGATAGTTGATAATTATTTCCAATTTCATTAAGTTTATAACAATCATTTTTGTTAGTATTGATTAATACTACATTTATTGGTATATTTCTACTACATGTTACAACAAATAACACTATTACTATGAATAAATAAAACAAGAAAATAACAGTTGAAGAATAAACCATTAAATAATCAATGTTATCAAATGGATTAGATAAAAGAAGAAAGAATAATAAAGAGGAATTGAAACAAATAATAAAACCAAATCATTTGTTAGTGGAGTAGAGAAATATGGTCATGAAAAATTATCAATAATAAATATTATTTTTTGGAGATACCTTATTTCATTCATGTGATTTAACAAAATAACACAAAAGACAAGTAACTATAAAACTTTGTAATCAAAAACAATATCTTTATTATTTCATTTAATCATTCATTAGTCATAACATTGTTTTGTTCATTTCTTTTTATTCTAAACAACAAACTTATCAAAAAACTAATCAATTTATGTGTGTTATTAGTTTCGTATTAACGATTGAATCAACCACCAAAACCTCCCATTGGCATGTTATTAGGAATAAATCCTCTCATCATTCCAAATCCTCCCATCATTTCATTTTGTTGTTCTGTTATTACTTCAACATTATCACAGTCAATCTGGTTGATTGAATTTGATGTATCAACTATCTTTATATCATGGCATCTTACCATTTTAACTTCTTTTCCTTTCATGTCATTATCAATATCAATTAGATAACACTCTTCCATTTCAAGCCTCTTCAAAGATTCACTCAATTTAATTCTAATGTCATTCATTCTTTTCAATACAAGTTCTTCTTTACACTGACGAATGATACTATAAGTTTCAGTACTATTAATTATACAGACTTTGTTACATGGTACAATTGAACCCCCTCCATATAATTTAGTGTTTTCAATATGCACTTTGTCAATGATATTGTTATCATCAATTGATGATACGCCAATACCTATTTGACTATCAATAATTTCTAATGATTTTTTAATTTTACCAATTTTAAAATAGTTATTCTCAAATTTGTTAATCATTACTGATTCAGCACATCCAATTCTTGTTGTAGTTTCTTCACCAATAAATGGAGTATCATTACCCATACAATTAATGAATTGAATATTTCCATATTCTTCATATTCTCCTTCAAATCTGAATTTTTTACAATTTTCTATTGTAACATCACTATTAATATTACTTCTAATTTTAATATTATGATCATGAATATTTCTTATTATAACATATTTCTTATCTGTTTCTATTTCTATATCTTTATTTGTATTATTTATTTCTATTATTTCTGTATCTTCTTTTATAACATTCTTTGTTTCTGGAATATTACATTCTTCATTATCTATTGTGATGATTTCTTCAATATTATCTAACTTCCCTGTGATTTCTGTATTTTTACATTTTGTTATTTTCATTTCTTTGATTTGATTCTTGTTGATTATGAATTGACAATTCTCACATTCATCAATACATAATTTCTTACATTTATCAAATAATTCTTCAAAGATATAATCTTTCATTGATACAATATATATCTCTTCTGCTTCTTTCAGAGGTACTTTAATGTATTCTTCAATTGATTTAAATATAATTCTTTTTGGTTTAACATCAATTTCATTGATTGTAGATTCAATAACTTTCATTGTATTACATCTTTCATTTCCTGTAATATTCACTTGTTTAGATTGTGATACTATCAGTTTATTGATTGGACATTTTGATTTTACATTAATCTGATTTCCTTCTATTATTTCAATATTTTGTTCATTATTAGATTCTATTTCAAATTTGAAATTCTCACATTCTCTAATGCAAATATTATTTGATTTATTTGTTGATAATTTGATTTGTGTTTGTTTATTTCTTTCTAATTTCAATCTTTCAATACAATCTGATTTAATATTAATTTTACATTCTCTACAATTAATTACTTCAATACTCTTTAATTTATTTGATATTAAACTAATATTTAAATTAGAGCAATAGTCCAATCGAAGTAATTCAAGATTTTGGAATGTGTAGATACTCTCTTGTATTTCTTTCCAATATCTTCTTTTATTAGTTGTTGTAATTCCCTGTTCTTCATTCTTTTCATTTATCTTTATTTCATTAATTCCCTGTAGTTTTAACTGTTTTAAATTATTTATTGATTGAAGTTCAAGTGAAGATCCTTGTCCATGCATTTCTACACACTCAATACGTTTGTTATTCATTATTAATTTTGAATCCGATAAACTAAAAGAAATATATTTGATAGATTCAGGTAATTGTGATGTTTCAAATACTATTAATTCATTACATTGTCCAAACAGTCCTTTTCTGTTATCATAAATTGTAAGAGAATTAGCATAAAGATCATTAATAATTTGGTGAACTTTCTTTCTATTTTCTTCGTTATTTATATCGTTTATATTGATTTTAATATCAACAGTGCCCTTAAATGGTTGTTGAAATCTAGGTTTTATATTTGAAAACAATAATTCATGTGAAGATCTAATATGTTTAACATTGCTTTCATTGTTTGTTTCTGGTATAAAAACTCTGGTTGAATATACTCGAATAGATTTTGGTATATCCATTAATATTTCATCCGTCAATTGACAATAGCAAATCATTAGTACATTCTTTTTTTCTACATTTTTAATACATTTTCCATTTGTACTTCCTACAACTATCATTTCGCTTGGATAAAATGATTCATTTATTTTCATTTTATCAAATATTGTATCAAACTTCTTTGCAATTGACTCATTACATCTTATTTTAATTCCTTTTTTCATGTTTTGAATAATAATTCCTATCACTTCCTCTGAGGCATAAAAAAGACAAGTCATAGACTCCACTTTTTGAATAATTTTAATTAGTCTTTCTTTTTCTTCTTCTGCCATACTTAATTCTTCCTGACCAACTTGATTGTTTTGGTTATTTTCCATTACTCGCTTTAAAAAATGTTGTAAGTCATAATTCCTTATCTTTTCAACTTTCATTAATACACTTTCATCAACATTCAACAAATTGCAATTACAGGTCGGTGGATTAAATATTCTACAAAACTTATTAACGTCTTTTTCTGATGTAAACCATGGGCTAATTTTTAATGAGTTAATTGCAACCCCACATTTTTTATTAACCATTTCAATGTTTTGGACGTCATTCATGTCTTCAACATGAAGTGCCACCTTCATTAAATAAACCATATCGAGTTGTTTCATCGTTCTTCTTTTATAATTTGATGGTTTAGTGACTTTCATTAAATAGTTCAATTATTTATTTTTTAGTTCATTTAATTTTCTTAATATAAATGAAAAGTAATACATAGATAGAAATAAGATGATGGTTGAAAATAACAAACATATTTTATTATTTTATTAATAGAGTATTATCTTTTTTATATTTAGTTATTTATTATTTTGAATGATAATGAAATATTTCATTTTCATTAAATTTATCATTGTTTAATTTTAATTTTATTTAATTTGATGAATTCATTCATTTAAACATAAAATAAATGTTATTCTAAAGATTCAATAATAAATATTGATATTCAATTTATCATTCAATTATATTCAAATTAAATATTCTTCTCTCTTTATTTAATTATTCATTAATGAGTTATTTTTTTTAATGAATGTTTAATAAATGTGTTCATTATAATGATGAATGATAAAATAAACATTTAAAATAAATAAAATGAAATAATACAACTAATAAATGTATTAATTATCAATTATTTCATTAATACAATTCATTTATTGATTATGAAATTAGATATTAATAACATTAATAAATGAATTGATTATCATTTAGTTTATTTCATATTTTATATATCATAATATTAAAATATAATTTAAATAATATACAATGAATCAATATTAAATAAAATGAAAATGTTAATATTTGTATTATTTTATCATTTTGTAAATATATTCAATATAAATTATTATTTAATGATGATAAAATAAAAAATAATAAAGTACATTTCCATTATATAATAGAATAATCAATTAATAAGAAATAAAGAAATGACAGTATCTTTATAATGAAGAAATGAGAGAAATGAATAACAATAAGAAATAGATAATGAATAATAATGAATAAAAATAGAAATGAATAAATAAGAATTAAGAATATATAAGAGAATATGATGAACAAAACAATAATTAGATGAAAGAAAATAAGAATAAGTTTTAAAATGAAAATGAATGAAGTGATAGAAATGAAAATAAAATGAAGAGTAGAATAAAAGTAATGAAAAAACATAAAAGAAGAATCTATGATAAAAACAACAAAATAATATAATTAGAAAAGTGAATAATTATAATATGAATCGTAAATATAACAATAAATCATATCATCTCATTTATATCATCAAATGGATTGTATAAGTGAATAAATAGAATAAAAGTGAAATATGAATTGAAATTAATGATGAATGAATATAAATGATAAAATGATCAATTATGATAATATAAAATAATATTAAAATATATTCTATTTGAATAGTTTTATATGTTATATTCTTCATTTAAATAATTGAATATTCTACAACATAGATATTAATTGATTAATTATAAATTATAAAAAAATAAAATATAGTTTAAATATATAATATTTAATAATAATAATATAGTTTAATAAAATAAATAAAAAATAGTAAATTATAATAAATTAATAATAAAAAGATGAAATTAAAATGAAATAATATAAATAATCATAATAATTTATAATGAAATTAAATATGAAATAGTTTTAAATCTAATAATATTTAAATTATTTATATTTTTTATTTATTTTTATTTTTATATTCATTATTTCATCTTCTTATCTTTCTTTATTTTCATTTTCATCATTAATATCTTCATTTATTTTATTTATTCAATTTATAATTATCAGATTAACATATTTTATTTATTTATTAATTGATTTAGATTTAATTTATTTAACAATTTGTTATTTCATTCATATTTAATTCATATGAATGAAGTTGATTTAATTAACAAATACAATTTTCATTCATTATGATATTTGTAGTATCTATTAACAGTTTTATATTTTGTTATCACATATTCAAATACACATAGTTTAAAACAAATTAGAAATAGATAAATAATAATAAGAATGAAATGATGAAATGAATGAATAATGATGCATCACTATTTAACTACATCAATACATTTAATTCTAACAAAACACAAATTATAAACACATAACAAAATACTAATTGAATTAATATCATATTTAACAAACAACTTCATATGATAAATACAAAAAGAATAAATAATAAAAGAATAAATCATGATAAGAATACATAAAATGATAATGATAATAAATATAAATAAAATCAATAAAATAACAAACAATAAAATAAAACAATGAAAACAATCAAATAATACAATATATAATAAATGTTATAATATCATTTGTTTGAATCTTGTTTCTTAATAAAAAATAAATAATAAAAAAATAATAATAATAAAATAATAATAAATGAAATGACGATTATCTTAAAAATAATTTAAGTTTAAATTTAAAATAAAAAGAAGAACTAATAAAACAACTAATAAATAATAAATCAATAATGAAATTAGGACATAATGAAATAATGATTGCATCAAAGTATTTTAATGATATTAATGATTTTATTAATTTAGAAATGGGTGTTAAAAGATTTAGAGGAAATATTGAACGATTTCATTTTAATCCAATTCCATTAAATAATTATTCAAGAAGATTCTTTCCTAATATTGAAACATTTCATGTTTATACTGAAAGCAGTATGGTATTTAATGATGGAAGAATAATTAAATTACTAATATGGTATACAGTAAATTATTCAACATATTTAAAAGAAAAGAAAAAAGGAAATATCTGTAAAAATATAGAATATTCGCAATCAGATAGAAAGAAATATGGAAATACAATCCCTCCAGAAGTTAAATCACTTGGAGATTATTGTTTTAAATATTGTAGTGAATTAACATCTATTAACATACCAACATCTGTTAGTAAATTAGGGTATTGGTGTTTTTATGGATGTACATCATTAAAATCAATTAATATACCATCATCTGTTAGTACATTAGGAAATTATTGTTTTTCAGAATGTTCGTCATTAACATCGATTTATATACCTACAACAATTACTAAATTAGAAGGTGGTTGTTTTAGAGAGTGTACTTCACTAACATCAATTAATATTCCATCATCTGTTAATGAGTTAGGGTATTGGTGTTTTTATAAATGTGTATCATTAACAACAATTAACATACCATCATCAATTAGTGAATTAGATGATCATTGTTTTAAAAAATGTTTATCATTAACATCAATTACTATACCATCATCAATTAGTAAAATCGGAAATAATTGCTTTAAAGAATGTACATCGTTAAAATCAATTAATATACCATCATCTGTTAGTACATTAGGAAATTATTGTTTTTCAGAATGTTCGTCATTAACAACAATTAATATACCATCATCAATTATTAAAATAGGAGATTGGTGTTTTGATGAATGTACATCATTAAAATCAATTAACATTCCATCATCTGTCAGTACATTGGGAGATTATTGTTTTCAAGAATGCTCATCATTAACTTCTATTAACATACCATCATCAATTATTAAAATAGGGAATGAATGTTTTTATGGATGTTCATCATTAACAACAATTAATATACCACCATCAATTATTAAAATAGGAGATTATTGTTTTTATGAATGTACATCATTAACAACAATTAACATTCCATCATCTGTTAGTACATTAGGAAATTATTGTTTTGATAAATGTTTATCATTAACAACAATTAACATTCCATCATCTGTTAGTACATTAGGAGATTCTTGTTTTGATAAATGTACATCATTAAAATCAATTAACATTCCATCATCTGTTAGTACATTAGGAGATTCTTGTTTTAAAGAATGTTATTCATTAACAACATTTAATATACCATCATCTGTTAGTACATTAGGAAATTATTGTTTTTCGGAATGTATATCATTAACTTCTATTAACATGCCATCATCAATTAATGAAATACGAGATTATTGTTTTAAAAAATGTTTATCATTAACATCAATTAACATTCCATCATCAATTACATCATTTAGAAATAGATGTTTTTATGAATGTTCATCGTTACAATCAATTAATATACCATCATCTGTTAGTGAAATAGGAAATAATTGTTTTGAATATTGTTCATCATTAAAATCAATTACACTACCTACATCAATTAGCATAATACCAGATTACTGTTTTAGTATATGTACGTCATTAACTTCAGTTACTGTACCATCATCAATTAGTAAAATAGGAAATAAATGTTTTAAAAAATGCTCATCATTAACAACAATTAATATACCATCATCAATTATTGAAATCGGAAATAATAGTTTTGAAGGATGTACTTCACTAACATCAATGAATATAGACAATCTACAATTTATTAGTAAAGAAAGAATATTTATGAACGAACCAGTGTTAATTAGTATTAAAATACCAGAAAATCTACAAATAATAAATGGAAAGAATATTGAAAATAAAGATATTAATGAATTTATTATACCATCTTCAATCACTAAATTAGGAGATAAATGTTTTAGTAAATGTTCATCATTAACTTCAATTAATATACCATCATCAATTAATGAAATAGGACTTAATTGTTTTAAAGAATGTACATCATTAAAATCAATTAATATTCCATCATCAATTACTTCATTTGGGTATAAATGTTTTTATAGATGTCTATCACTAACATTAATCAATATACCATCATCAATTAATAAAATAGGGGATGGATGTTTTAATGGATGTTCATCATTAACATCAATTAATATACCATCATCAATTACATCATTTGGAAAATCTTGTTTTTATGGATGTGGATGTGAAGAAGAATTAAAGAAAAATAAAAGAATACCAAGAAATTGTTTTGAATAGTGATGAATGAAATAAAAATACAATAAATGAAATACAATATAAATTGAAGTAGAAATAAATTATAATTGATTATCATTTATATTATTATTATTATTTTCTTATTTATTCTTTTTGATATTATTCTTTTCTATCTTATTGATTGATATATCATTCTTTATATTTGTTTTATAATTCTTTTTTATTCTTTATTTATTTTTATTCTTATTTTTATATTCTTATTCTTTTGTATCTTTTTTATTCTATTTATTTTATATCTTTATTTTCTTTATTTTATATCTTTATTATTTCTTATTTTATTTATCTTCTTATTTATTTGTTTTATTTTGTTTGTTTTATCAATTCAGAATATATATCATATTTTGATACCATGCTTATTGAGTAATACCATAGAGTCTTGTAAAGAAAATCAAACAACAAACAGATATTCAAGTTCAAAGAAAAGAATGAATGAAATAACAATAAAATGCATAATAACAACGATAAAAGAAACAACAAGAGAAAAGTGAATAGAAAAAGAAGAATACAAATAAAAACAAATAAGAATCAATGTAAATATAATGATAATAAATATTATACAAATAAGAAATCTAAATTATTAACAACAAATGAAATTCAAAAGAAAAATAAAAGAATAACAAGTGAAAATGAGAATGAGAATAATCATAAATATAAAAAATTAGAAGATAAAGAAAATGTATAATATTCTTCAAGAATTATATTCAATAATAAATAATAAAATAATAAAGAAAAACAAATAAGAATTCAAAGATAAAACAAAATAAATGAAGAAGATATTAAAACAAATGAAAAATGAATCAAAAACAAAAAACAAAGAAATGAAGTAAAACTACGATAATAATAAAATAAAAAGTATTAATTAAGTATTAATAGAAATATTTTCTGTTGTTACTTGCTCAGCGGAATTAACTAATCCATTTGCTTTAAATGTATTTGTTCATCAACTTTTGGCTTATTCTTTGATTTTAGTTGTTGAATTATGAGTTTTCATTTTCTCTTTATTTAATGTACAATAAAGTATTTTAAACATCAATTATTTAAATATTCATTATTTATTTTCTTTTTAATTTCGATGTGTATTAAAATTTTTCTTTATTTTATTATTTTAAGGAGAGTATATAATTACTACTGTATTGCTATTGGCTAATATTCTTTTTAGTATCAACCACTAGACCCTTTTCTTTTGATAATCTTATATTATCATTTATACTTGCATTCTAACAATAATAATAACATCTTTATAAATACCCATTCGTTTATTGTCAATGATATTCTGTCATTGTACATAATAAACACTGCTATTCTTGCAGTATTGATTAAAATGTTTTTCTAACCGAACGCAACGTCATAACCATTCCATAACTGGGGGAATCGAAGGAAGAAAATATTTTAGGGAAATGTGTGGTGTCTCTGACGTACTATCTTCGAATCAAATAATAAATTAAAAATAAGATAAATAAAAAATATAAGAGAAAGAAGAAGATAACAAATAAGAAATTAACACACTTCAAAATAAAATCAAAGAAATAGAAGAAACTACTAAAGAACTTTAAACAAAAAAGAAAGAAAAAGAACGAACCATTTCAAATGAAATGATTCAAAAAACACGAGATACCGTTGAAGAAGAAAAAAAGAAATAAAAAAAATATCAAATAATAGATAAATCCACAATTTGATATTATGATTATTGAGAAGTGATTGTTTCAGTGAATTCAATATGTTCTACTTCTACATTAGAGTTCACTTCTAACATATGAGAATTAGAAGGTCCCTCTTCTAATGTACAGTGTTAAATATGTAGAACATTAAATATTTCATGATTTTAATAATAATTGTTTGTAGTATTTTGTTGAATTCAATTTGTAATTTTAGTGTCTTTAATCTTATTACTGATTCATTATGTATCAACCCATTGATTGTTAATATTACAAGTATTATTTCTACATAAATTAATTCTCTACTTTGTATTAGCTTCTCTTGTAATTCTTTGTATTTATTTATTTTGTAAATATAGTTTAATTCATTATTTCTATCTTGACATATATCAACATCATTAATATATCAATTTTTTCTTTGATGATTTGATAATATATATCTGGTATTCTAACATTAAAAGAATTGTCACTAACCAATAAATCTTTATTGTAATTTATAACCATTTCATTATTATTAATACACTTATGAGGTGTATCAAAATCTATTTCATCAAATTCATTAAAATGAGTAAATAATATATGTTTATATATTTGTTTACATACATAATCGTGTTTTAATATTTGATTCTTCTTCATTACATGACATCCTAACAAAATATGATTAATAGATGCAATTGTGTTAGGACAATGTTTACAATATTTTAAAACATCACAATTAAGTATTTTAGAATTAATATTTCCTGTTATAGTTACTCTTTCTTGTATCTTTACTACTTGGAGGAATACATTTCTTTTTATATTTAATGACCACCATGTGGCTACTGATAATTTCTTATTATTAAATATACAATTTACATTTCTTATATATTCACTACATTTCTTTCAATTCATTTAAATATCTTTCATTTAATTTATTTGTTACAAATTCAAATACTTTGTTTACATCATGTTTTATTTCGTTTAATTGTATTATATTCATTCATTGAAATTAATTTTCTTACCAAATGCTCTTTTCATTCTTTTAATTATTCATTTTGGATTCTCTTTTACTATTTCTATCATTTCTTTTATTTCTTATTTGTTTTTGTTTATTAATTTGATATTGTTTATATCTTCTTTTTGTTTTATTATGATAATTATTTGTATTATGATAATACTAATTGTTTCTATTTGAATTATTATTAAATAATATGATGAAGTGGATGAAGTGATAAATGAAAATATAATGATTATGATGATAATTAATGTATTTCTCATTATAATTAATATACATTCTCATTCTTCTATCACTTATATTTCTTATTGTTATTGATTTATCATTCTTTTATTGTGTTTGTTTTATACTTTTGTGCTGTTTCATCTTATACATCACTTTAAACAAAAACATTAAATAAGGATAATAATAGGAAGTGGGTGTAGTAAATGTTATGAAGAATAAAGAAAAGAAACAAATGAAAGAAAGATAAAATGACATAAATACAAATGAAATCTATATCAAATGAATATAACTAATATTCACAATAAAATGGCATAAACAATCTATAATTGATTGTTTATATATGTTAGTTTAAGTATTAATTGTATTAGATGTTACTCATCTTTTAAATTACTTATTTTCTTCAAAATAAAACCATAAACACTTTTCGTTATTATCATTTAATTTAATCAAAAATCAATCAATTGATTAATAAATTGGATCACCAACTCTTCCTTAAAACTCTATGACATGCACCTCATTCTCATGAGATTTTATGATGTCAATTAAGTCATTAACTTTCAACCAAATTGTGGCAGTATTATCATTTGGATGAACTCCTATAAGACCATCAGCACTATTTAAAAATTCTTTGTCAATAAAAACCTGAACTTTTCTTTCCTTGTCATTTAATATTCCAAGGGGTGACACTGCACCAGAAATCAAACCAAGTGTATTCAGTAAGTCTGAGTCTGAAGCAAATGATAATTGTCTTGTGTTATTGTCTTTTCTAAATTTCTTCAAATCCACATGCTTATCACCATGAACAGACAAAAGATAATAACTTCGTTTTTTATCATCACGGATGAAAAGGTTTTTAGCTTCTGAGTTGGGATATGGAAGTTTAATATCAGAGATTTCTTTCATGTTAAATACTGCTTTGTGTTCAGTAACTTCGTACTGAATCTTATGTTCATCTAAATAGGCATATACTTCTGCTTTATTCATTTTGTGTTGAAGTTAGGTTTTAATAATCAAAGACTAACAATTTAAGAACTTTAACTATGCACACGAATTGTATAACTATAATAAAAACTAACCATGTTATTATATCATTATGTTTTTAACTTATTAAATACAATACATATTTGAAATAAAATACATATTTGAAATAATGATTATTTTATCATTTTATTATAATTTATATAATTTATTATTTTATTAATAGAATGTTATTTTTTTATATTTTGTTATTTATTTATTTTGTTATTTGATATTTTGAATGAAATGAAATATTTCATTTTTCATTAAATCTATCATTGTTCAATTTTATTCTTTATCATTTTCATGCTCTCAATTAACTAATCAAAAACTTCTTGTTCTAAAGAGTTATTTAATAAATTAAAATTGTTTTTATCATTCCATTTTATTAATTTAATTTGATTTAAATGAAATCTATGTATTCATTCATTATTATGTTATTTAATTGTTGTAATGAATGTTGAAACAATTATTCATGTAAAATGATGAATGATTAAATAAAGATTAAATTATCATTAGTATTTAATATAATACATTAAAATATGTTGAATATTATTAAGAGAGAAAGATAAATAAAACATTGTAAATGAAAAATAAATAAAAAAATTGATTTCGATTTTATGAAATTAATAAATGAGTATGTTATTTTAAATTATCAATTATTATTTCATTAATACAATTCATTTATTAAATATGAAAAGGATAACAAATTAATAAATGAATTGATTATCATTTAAGTTCATTTCTTATTTTATATAATCATTATTACAATTAGATGATATACAATGAATATTAAATAAAATGAAATTATTAATATTTATATTGTTTTATAATCACTTTGTAATGATATTCAATCTAAATTATTATTTAATGTTAATGAATGTTTCAATGAGTAAGTTGATAAGAAGTTAATAAAAGTATATTTATCTGAATGTATAGAAGTTATAAAACAAAAATATCATTACATCAAAAGAATAGTAATTTGTATACTATTAATAATGCTTTTATTTATTTTGATTTTGTAATACATTATGATATATTTGATGGTTTAATTCTATCATAAGATCATAATTTATCAATACATTTCATTTCTAAATGAATAATATTCAAAATAATGAATATATTATGTGAAATGATGTTAAATAAATCATTTAATGGAGTATTAATAAATAAATAAATAAATTGTGTTTTATGAAAATAATCAAATATCAATGATAAGTTTGAATAAGTTTGACTATATATGATATCAATTATTTATTATATTTATTTATCATAATATCATATCTAAATATTATATCATAACTTGTTTACGACTTGATTTAATATTATTTAACAAAATAAAAATCAAAACAGATGAATAGTATTAATAATTGATGAAATATAATCTCATCAATCATTTCAAAATGTAAATCATCGTGATTATGAAATACATCAAATATATTGAATATGATTGAAACAATGTTATATGATTTAATTGATACAGCCATCAACTTAACTGTTACGTCTCATTCGAATAAATCATGAACAAGAAGAAAATAAAGACAATAACTAATCATATGATAAATATCATGAAAATAGTAGATTTAAATATTACTCCTGTTAATTAAAACATTTAATTAATCAGTGTTACAACAATGTATAATTAGAAAGATGTTAAAGTAATTATTGAATTAACAATTTCAACAAGAATACAGAATGAAGATAAAAAAATATTAACATCTCATATTTTCATCAATTAAAACAATTTGAACAACAAAATGATTTAATTTACATTTATGGAATAGATTAAATAAAATTGTATTTGACTAATACGTAATTTATAATACACAACATCAAATAAACATACAAAATAATACAAAAAGAATAAAAGAATAAAAATAAAGAATAAATATAATCATTTCATTTTATTTTTTAATTGAAAAATAATACAGAAAATTAATAAAAGAAAATTAAAGAAAAGAAAACTACATTTTACTTCATTTACTAAATATAAATCTATATCACTATATATCTTCACTATTCTTATTTACTATGTTAACATTAACTAACTTCACTTTCCTACTACATCCTACTTACATAGTGTATATCTTATCTCATTGGTTATTAATAATCAATTATATTCTACAAATTATCACTAATAATAGTATTTGATGTAAAGAAACGTATTCTTTTCAACGGAATTGAATTTTGATTTTCTACACATGGAAAATACTTAGAAACATCACAATACGAATTAGGTTCCTTCATATAAATGACATTAATATCTTTAGAGAATGAACAATTTAATTGGTCATCAACAGAAAAAGCAGAAGGACAATTAAAAATGGTAGTAAAATCTAATGGGATGTAAACAGATGTAGTGAGTATCCGATAATCAAATGTATTTATTTCATCACTTTCTAATGAACAAGAAAAGATGTAATGGTGTTGATCTGTTATTCCAATTCCCATATATGATGGTGCTTTTGATATATAACAACCAAAACAATTGTCCTTATCATCTTCTGCAACAAAATAAACATCTTGTTCTCTTTGGATGTAATTAAATATTGTTTTAGATGTTAATAAACTATTATTTGAATCATACAAAGTTAACACTTCTTTATTAGAGAGAATATTAACAATTCTCTCTGCTCTATCTTTTTCATCAGTATAATGAAGATATTGTGGTTGGTTAAACGAAATAACTTTCATTGAGTTAATACTGTTCAATAATTTGTTGTATTTATTTAGTATTTTAATGAAAGTTATTCTAAATTATCAATAATTAAACATTAAGAAGAAAACTACATAAGGATTGTTTGAAAAAAATTTCTTACTTTTTTTATAATTTTATTTAATTTACTAAATTCCAGAAAATCCTCCACGTTCTTTTGTCATCATTCTAAAGGATTTTTACAAAAATTTATTTTTTATTAACTTTTATTTATTTTTTGAACGTTTGAATAACTGATTGAATTATGTGTAGACATCATTCTGTTATTGTAATTTAAATGATAATAAAAATACCAACTTGATTTTTAATAAATCAACAAAAAAATAGGAAAATAGTAAAAAAAACAAAAATAAAGCATGATTTATGGAAAGAATATTGTTTTTAATAAATGAACATAAACAAACAATAATAAAATAATAATAATATTTACCACAAAAATATTTTCTTTCTCAATTTTTGAATACCAACTATTTTTCTTATTCACACACAAAGCAATGAATATTGTTCAGTCTTTAGTACCAATCAATAAGCAGAATAACTCTCTACAATAACACCAACAATGAAACAGAGTATTTGCAAAAGATGAGTGTCTACAGAGAGTTCAACAGTGTTATGAGACGATAGAAAGAAAAATCAAATCAATAAAAACTACAGTGAGCTGAGACAGACCAAAAAGAAAAAAGAAAAACCAAAAGAATTACTCTCAACTTATTGAAGAGAAAAGCACTTCATCAGTTTAACAACAAAACATTAACAATTTCATTCATTGAAATTTTGTTTTGAGATGTACGAATAAACGAAAAGAACAAAACTGAATAAATTCAAATAAAATTAAAACAAGAAGAGAGAATACAACAACAAGAAATAACAAAGAACGAAAACAAAGAAGATTAGGATATAATGAAATAATGATAACATCAATGTATTTTAATGATATTAAAGATTTTATTAATTTAGAAATAGGAATTAAAAGATTTCAATGAAACATGGAAAGATTTCATTTTAATCTAATTCCATTAAATGAATATTCAAGAAGATTCTTTCATAATATTGAAACATTTCATATTTATAATAATATATGATGAAATATTTAATGATGGAAAAATATTTAAAGAAATAATATGGTATGCAGTAAATTATTCAACATATTTTCAAGAGAAAGGAACAGGAAACAAATATAAACATATAGAATATACACAATATGATAGATATAAATATGGAAATACAATACCATCAGAAGTTAAATCAATTGGAAATGGTTGTTTTTCAAGATGTTCATCTTTAACATCAATTAATATTCCATCATCAGTTAATAAAATAGGAAATGAATGTTTTTATGGATGTACATCACTAACATCAATTAACATATCAACATCAATTAACATATCAACATCAATTAGATCATTAGGAAATGAATGTTTTTATCAATGCTCATCATTAAAATCAATTAATATTCCATCAACAATTAACAAAATAAGAGATGGATGTTTTTCAGGATGTTCATCATTAACATCAATTACTATACCATCATCAATTACATCAATAGGCAATGGATGTTTTATGTTTTGTAGATCATTAACAAATATGAGTATTGAAAATGTAAAATATATAAGTGAAGAAAGAATATTTATAAATGAACCAGTGTTAATTAGTATTTCAATACCAGAACATTTAAAAATGGTAAATGGAAAGAATATTATAAAAGAAGATATTAATAAATTTATGATACCATCAACAATTACATCAATAGGAAATAGATGTTTTTCAGGATGTTCATTATTAAAATCAATTAATATACCAACAACAATTACATCAATAATGGGTGAATGCTTTATTTATTGTATATCACTAACATCAATTAATATACCATCATCAATAACATCAATTGGAAATTATTGTTTTTATGAATGTTCATCATTAACTTCAATTGACATACCATCATCAATTAAATCATTTGGGAAATCATGTTTCTATGGATGTGGATGTATTGAAAAATTAAAATAAAATAAAACAATATCAATAGAGTGTTTTAATGAATAATGGAATATGAAATTTCAATAATAAAAGAGATTATTAATAAACAAATGAAATGGTTATTACAATAAAATTAATTGAATTAAGTTAAATACATTTATTTATATTATTGTTTGTATGTTATTTAATTTATTCTATCATTCTATTTCTTCTTTATTTGTGTTATTTTACTCTTTATTATTATATTTTATTCTTATTCTCATTATTAATTAATTATATTGTTATTTTATGTTCATGAAATACATCTGTTATGTCATTGTTTTCATTATATTTATTCATTTATTTTTGTTATGAATTATGAGATAATAAATTATTATTTACTTCACATTTAACAGTTATTGAATGTTTGAATAAAAATGAATTCATTGATTTATAACATAATGAATAAACAATTAATGTGATATATATTGAATAATGTATTTATTTTAATATGAAATATTTAATAATTCATAATAAATTCATAACAAAATAAATTCTATTTCATTTTAAGATATTTTCAATTAAATGAATTAATTATTTCATTCATATAATAATTTAATTATGATTTGAATGAATTAAATAAAAAATAAAAGAATTTCATAAAATGAATATCATTTGAATATAATGATAAAATAATAATTCATATGTATACTTATATTTATATCATTCAATTTTATTATAATTGAATAAACAATTATTATATAACATATCACATTATAAAATAATAATCAGAAATAGAAAATAAGAAATAAATCAAATAAATATATTACAAATGAAATAATAATTTCAGATAATCAAAATGATAAAGAATAAAATATAAACATTCTAATATAATAATTGAATGAATACAACATAATATAAATAATTAAAACAAACAAATAAATAAATTCTAATAATCACAAATCAAATTATTTTATTTTATTCATTATTTCTTAGGATTCGAAGGTAGACGTCAGAGACACCACACAGAACCCTAAAATATTTCAATCCTTCGATTCCCCCAGTTATGGGCGGGAACCAAAATAAGCAAAGAAATAATGCATCTAAATAAAAAATAACAAAAAAGAAAAGGGAAAAATATTTTGAATCAATAAAATAATAGTTTTTATTATTTTGTTCCTAAAAAAAATAAAAAATAAAAAAGTAAATTAAATAATCATTCTATATTCAATTATATTTGTTTATATTTTATATCATTTTATGGTAAATTGTTCTGAATTATAAATGATTCAGAAATGATATTTGATTCAATGTAATTATACATTTTTATTATTATGTTATTATTATTTTATTTATGTATTTTATTATTATATTTATTTCTATTATTGTATTATATATATCATCATATTATTTTTATATTTTATATTTATCATATTTTATTAGTTTTATATTCTTATTATTTATATTTTATTTTATATATTAATATATTTTTATTTATATATAATTTATTATATATTAATACATTTCTTTATTTTATTTTTATTTTGATTATATTTTTATATTTTATATCTATTTTCTTTTTATATTTATTATTATTTTATTTATATTATATTGATTTTATTTATCTTTTTATTTATATATTTTATTTATTATTATATCATTTCTTTTCTCTTATTATTTCTTTATCATTTATTATTATTTATTTAATTTTTATATCTTCTATATATATCATATGAATTTATTATTTATTATTTATTTTATCTTTTCTTATTATTCTTTTATTAATTTATGTTTATTATATTTTATTTTTTTATTTCTTTTTCTATCTATTTTTTATTATTTTTATTTATTATATATATTTCTTTTATTCTTATTCTGTTATTATTTATATTTTTTATTTATTTTATTTATTCGATTGTTTAATAAAAAATATATTCAATTTTATTATTTGTTTATTATTATTAATTATTTTTATTTATATATTAATTTGATTAATATATTTGTATTATATCATTTTTATATTTATTATTATTTATATTTTGTATTATTATTTATTTATTATTATCATTTTTATTTTTATTTATCATTTTGTATTATATTATTCAATATTTCATGAATTTAATATTTATTATGAAATCATTTATTAATTATTTTATTTTATAATGATATATTATTTAAATTATTTTGTTATATCACATTGATTATTCAATATTTAATGATAGAAATTAATGATATAAGATTAAGATAATAGATATAAATAAAATGATGAATATTGAAACAATCATTTAAAATCAAAAATAAATAATAAGAAATATAAATATAATATAAAGAATAAAGAAAAGAAAGATAATAAAAGAAATAAATAATAAATATAAATCAAATAATAATAATAAAATCAAATGATAAATAAATGATAAATAAATATTAATAATCAAAAATATAATAATAATAAAAATTAAACTTAAATCAAATCAAAATAATCAAAACAAGAAATGAAAATATGAATCAAATGAAAATAAATAAAATAAAAAAATAAATAAATAAAATAAATAATAAGAATAAAGAAGAATAATAAGAAAGAAAAGAAATATAAATAATAATAATAATAAATTAAAATAAAATAAGAAATGAAAAATATAATAATAATAAACAATAAAAATATGAAACAATAAATATAATAATAATAATATAAAATGATGATATTAAAGAAATTATTAAAATATAAAATAAAGATAAAAGAAAACAATGAAATATAAAATAAATTCATTTTAATATAAATCATTTAAATAATTAAACAATAAAATTATTTCATAATATTGAAATATTTCATAAATATAATAAGAAAGAACAAATAAAAGAATAGAGAAAAATAAATAAAAGAATAATAAATAATAAAATAAAATAATCAATATATTAAAAAGAAAAAAGATAATAAATAATATATATAAATAAAAATTATAAAAATAAAAATAAATAAAATAAATTGCATAAATAAAATAATGTTAAATAATTTGTATCAATAAATTAAATGCTTTTTTTATTTCATATTTCTAATTTCTGTCATAAAAAATACACCATTATTCAATCCTTCTTTTCATCTTTTATTATCACTTTTTGAATTACTCCTTTTTATCTTCTTTATTTTTATAATCTCAATTTTCTTATTCTTTTCATCTTCTTCTATTTCTTAATTTCACTTTTTTTCTTTCATATCATTCTTTCTCTTCATTTTTCTCTTATTTGCTTTTTTTCGTTGACCAATTTCATTATTATTATTACATTTAGGATATGTATTAAATTCTATTTCATCAAATTTATTAAAATGGGTAATTAATAATGT